ATCTCAGTGGGAAACTTCTGATGTTGGCAAAGGTTTTCAAGTTTTCCTGTTGACGGATAAATGTGGACTTGCGCAGGCTAACAGACCAGATTATTTTTTCTAATTAACAGTGTTTACTTGTTTCATTATAAGAATCACAAGTAGGAAGCATAAAGAAGGTCTTTTTCTTTATCAACAACAATGGTATTATCACCAATAACTTCAACGGTTCAGTGAAATAAACACGGTTTAAATGTCCACTTGTTAACACACCAACTCCAAAGAATGGGCGCGACTATACAGACTTACGACTCTACTAGTGAGCGTGTCCAGTTCCGCCAGTGAATCGCGAAGTACAAATCCGCTCTCGACCCACTGTAATCTGATAGCTCTAAAATTGTTTCCCTCCCACTTCACACTAATAAGTCAAAATTTTTTTTTTTTTTTTTTTTGCTATTATAAGGCATGTGCGCTCACCAGAAAGACAGAAAGAAAGAAATCATCTGGTGTGTGTGTTTAGGGGAGGGGGGGATGGCGAGGCCACAATCCCCTCTCCTCCATTCTCCTCTCGGGATCTTGGACATGCGCGCGCATACACACATACACACACACACACACACACACACACACACACACACGGCGTGAGTTTAAGCCACTAGGCCCGGGATTCAAACTGCAGTCGGCTACATGGAAGTCCAGCAACATAGCCATTATGTCAACTGCTGGTCCCATGAAGTAAAAATATTTTAAAAGATACTTTATTAGTGCCATTCAGACACATTTTCAAGTATGGAATTAACGATTTTTGACAGACCCAAAAATGAGGAAAAAATAAGCAAATGAGGTGAAAATCCAGAGACTTGGGTTCTAGTCCTACCAAAGTACAACTAAGAAGCAAAGAGTGCAAAAATTCCCCGGTGCAGCCTATACAACATGGAAAAAAGAGAAGAGGTCGTTCAGGGCTTTACGATACAAAAGGCCCAGAATCTCCCTTACGTAAGTTTATTGGCTGAGGACATTAAGCTGCCTGTTAACTAGTAAACACACTCACAGGTCTCCTATGGGCCAGGACCTGAATTATGATGACGCACGTAACTTAAAGGAAAGAGTAGTAGTTATTACTTAGCAGTGCTGTAAATTCCTTCACTCTCTATTTTACAGTAGTGATTATAACAGGAAAAAGGTCCTTCTCGGTAACCTGCACATCAATTCTGTCGGATGGCCCCACATGCAGGAAGAGTGGAGGGTCCAGCAGGGCTCCTGCCCCACCTACTGTGCGGCTGGAAAAGCCCTTCCCCTGCTCAGCCCAGGCTTCTACTTAAGACCTTGGTGGTAAGAGGGGTCTGCACGGCCCCCTACTGTCAGCTCAGTCACCCAGAGAGGCAGATCATGTGTCAAAATTCTGTATCCCAAGTACTTTTCTTCGTTACAACTGCCTAAAAACCGCTGGGCTTGCGCGCTGAACTCTAACGGTATTCATAACTGAAGATACTGCCCGAGTTCAACACAGCAGACACTCAAGGTCCAAGACCCCGAAATGACACCTGGCTGACACAGCTTACAAATTCCCCTGAGCAGTCAGTTCACGTTGTTTCCCTCCGTGAGAGGTTGTTTCCCCCAAGGACTCTCCGCGGAGATACAATCTATCGTAGCCCTGAAACGTGCTTCTCGCGAAGGAACCAGCACTGGGTCCGAGGCCTGACGACCGCTCCGCTGTCCTGCGCGGGGCAGGGCTGCCCTCTCCGCTAGGTGTCAGTACCCGCGCCGCCCCGCAGGGGTGGCAACCGAAGCCCTGTCCAGACAGTGCCAGATACTGCTTCAGAAAAAGTCCCCAACGAGGGGGAGGTAGCCAGCCCGTGCACCGGCAGAAAGCACTCCCCTGCACATACGAGCAACTCCGTGTACCCTCCCACGGCCTGGAACCACCCTAAGACAGGGCTAACCTAGCCTAGGAGGTCGCCGCCGCTTCTCGGACACAGGACCACACCACCCTGCCCTACGCGGATCGAGAGCGGCGGGCGCACGGCTGCGCAGCGACAACTCGGGATCAGAGC